GGTAGCGGTTTTTGGGAGAATGTTTTTGTAATATTTTAAAATTGCATACATTGCACGAAATATTTCTCGAAAACTACTAAAATTTCAAAAAGATTGTACCCGACCTTAATGAAATAACTCACTATGGAGAACAAAATTTTAGTTCAAAGAAAAATCTTTTCGAAAAATCAAAGAACCGTGAAAATCGGATCTAAGTCACGTTAATATGCGTATGTTACTCTATTCTACTAGAAATGGAAGGAAAAAATGTGGAGCAGATTTTGAGAAAAATTTGAAATTGTCATCTCGACAAAATGACATTAGCATCTGAGCAGGTATGGGACATTGGTAGAATACGACCCGTTAAGATCCATTACTATTTTTGTTCGTTTATTTGTTCATGGGTTTTAATTTCTTCTTCTTCTTCTTCTTCTTCTTCTTCTTCTTATTATTATTATTATTATTATTATTATTATTAGCTGAAGATGATTTAGCCTATACTGTTATGTAAACGTTGTATCAGCACCCTTGAAAGGTAAAAATGTCGAGTAAGAACAAATAAAATTAAAAAACTGAAACACTTGTTAATGATCTGAAGATTTGTTAGGAATTTCGTTATGTGCCAACTTCGTTTAACATTAGATCAAAAACAGTTATTTATGACGGGTAAAATCAAAATCACATTTATGATATGTCACAAACTAGCTTTTAGAAAGTGTTGCCAATATTTGATATATATTCTAGTAAAAAAATCATTTAATGGTGCATTAAGATTAGTAGAAACTGATGTGGTGAGACAGACTTTTTTTCCTCTGTTGCATTAATAGATTTATGAGGACACGTTAACGTTACTTTTAGCACTAGTTCTAAAAATTGAATTTGTAGCACGATACGCAGGTCCTGAAAGAACTCCTTTTACTAATGTTTATAAAATTGTATTTTATGTGAAAACTGTATCTCCGTACACAGATATTGAGATTTACAATGATCACTGGAAAAAAACAATAGAGTTTTGGGTCAATATTGAAAGATTTTTTTTTGTTACTAAAGGTTCATCAACATTAGGTCATTAGCGACATCTATTGCATTTAACGGTATGGTCAATGTGAAGAGACATGATATACCGATAATAGAGGGTGGAAGGACGAAAACAAATACAACCATGCTCGAGGCGGGACTCGAACCCGAGATCCTTTGGTCCGACATCGCTACAGGCCTTCACGATCTTGGTCATCTGTACTGACATTGAAGGATTTGTTATTAATACTTATGAGAAAACAGGTAATATAAATGCTTCTTCAGAACCAAGAAACGTAATGTTTACAGACAATAAATTAACTAAATTAAATATAAAAACTGTAAAAACATCGCCCGGGTGCTGCGAAATATTCGTGTTTTCCTTTCAATGGCAAAACGTCTGGCGACCGCAGGTTTTACGTCATCAACGCGCGTCGACTTCAAAGGACGATTTCACAGACCGATGGCTCCGTCCGTGCAATTGCAGCTGGAAGGGTGCCGCCGACAAAATCAACGCGACGTCGCGAAACGAGAGATGTAAAGCGAACTGGGGAGAATAGGGCGAACTTGGTTTCCCCTCTGCGGTGCGGTCGCGGATGAAACAGGTCGCGTAGAACCGGGTATAACTTGTTTATTTTATTAACTGGTCCGTCCGTTGCGAACCCGACCGCACGTTACGAAGCTCACCGTTCATTACGTACCCGACCGTTTATTACCAACGTACACCACCGTGGGTGTTTGGGCTCGGTTTCTAGAAGCAGTTTCGACCATGGTTCCAGACCAATCGGTCCACAGGAAAATGTCAAATTAACACAAAGTCCTTAAAAAATATTTCACTCAATAATGTCCACTGCATAAAGAAAAAAACGTATTGCCGCAGTAAAACGGTCCACACCCTAATGTCCACTGCATAATGCCAATAAACGCAATGTCCACGGCAAAAAAACCCTACAAGAATGTCCATTGAATAACTATATGTACCGTAGTGTGTGGAACATAAACGCAAAAACTACTGCGTCGATTTCGCAGAAATTTTCAAACTCTGTTCTAATTAGTAATACACGATTTTAAAGAGTGGTGTGAAATAAATTGGACATGTGGAGGCATTGTTGATGATGATGATTCATTCGTTTATGACGACTTAGTATCCCCTGCACTCTACGTAACCCGCCGCACAGACAACGATTAAACGCGTCTTTGCTGCGTACAAATATGCTATCCCTGATATTGCGAAATATTGGTCGAAATTACTACTTGAATATCAGACAAATAAATCAAATTTTTCGTAGATAGTGTCACAGCGAATGCATGCCCAAATTTGAAGGAAAACGTTTTAAAACTACATTCTTAACAACCAAGTCAAAACTAGGCACGAAGCGCGACAATACTCGCGAGGAAGTCTTTCATCTATTAAACATTTTGCAGACAGTAACGTAAAACATTATTAACAATCACGTGAATAGTACTGTGATACACTGCAATAGCGAAGCATTGCTGGGTCCACTAGTTGTGTATAAAATGAGTGATGTCATTTTCTGTTCGATCGAAATGCAAGGTCTTAATCAATGAAGTCAATCACATTCATATTTAATATAATAATTATTTTTTTGTATTGTTCTTAATAATAGAAATATGTAGCCACATCAATTAAAATCAGTTTTTAAGGTATTTCGCAATGGTATTAAAAATTGTTCGCAAAAGAAAATGCAAATTCTTGTGAGTAATGGATTTACATACCACTTCCATTCTCGAAGTAGAAATAGAAATTAAACTCATTTCAGATGTTCCGAAATTCGATACATCTTACCCATGACGACTACGACGACGGCAGGATTTTCGACAAGCAACGTAGTTAGATTGAGCTCAACCGCTGTCTGGATAAGAATTCTTGCAGCCGGTTGCAGTGATCGGTAGTTTTCCGTGGGTGGTTTCCCTGATCAACAACATACGAATGCTGGAGCAGTACCCAAACAAACGGGCCATGGACCACGCGCGATCTTTCCTTGCTCTTCTCTATCCTATCTTAACCCCTTTCTTGCACACACATGTACTGCATCACCACACTTACGGAGAAGCCAGTCAAAAGCTTAAACCTTGACTCGGCTGGCAAGCAGCCTCATATATTACATTATAAACAATGTCACTCAGCGAAAATACAAGAATGTGTGTAGAAGTAATCGAAAATAAAGAGCATCAAGAGATACAATTAACAAAAACACGGTGTGTCTATAATTCCCAGTAAACGATTATCCGTTAGCATTAAATCATTTATATTTCCACACTTTGTTATTTCACCGACGGAAACAATCGTCACAGAAATTGATTCTTTTTTAATCATAATCAGTATTTCTACCAATATATTACACGTTTACACGCTATAAATTGCGTTCCAGAATGTTCAGTAGCTTCGCGTTATGGACAGTTACATTTACTGAAAGCTAGTAGTATCTGTTTGATTTAATGTAGGCCTTATTGTACCTTCAATAACGCATTCTGGTCTTTGTCGAGTCTATCAACTGGCTGCATTATACTGTTCCTGAATACACAAACTACGTTGAAAGAGCACCAGAGCTTTGTGAAAACGATCAAACCATACGTAACCCGTATATGTAAGAACGCTCGTGGATACATTTCATTTCGCAATTGTGACTACAGGCAACTTGTTTAGAGCATTGCCTCGAGAAATTGACTTAACTCTAAGTTTGTGTACCAAGTAACATACAATCTCAGACAATACAAACTAAACTTCGTGGAATTAGCTACCAACCAAACACGTCCGGAGTCAAGGAACACAATAGAAGTTTTGCTAAGCGGGGTATATCAGCAATGTAAACCGGTGTATAACAAGAACTAGTGAAACTCCAGGATTTGTTGAGATAAAACTTCTACCTGTAAAGACGAAAAACGTATGTTTTTACAAACCACATTTTATTTGCTCCTCAAACTGGCTTATTTAGAAAGACGTCAAATCGGACTTCAATTAGTAGTAAGAAGTAAGAGCTGATGGACGTGTTTACGTGTGTTGGCAGTGAGTGAGAATCTAAGAAAAACGAGAGGTAAGTACGTGTAGGAAATATAAAAGCCTATACGATATATTCACGGAAATGACGGTATTGAAAACCTCAGCCTATTTTCATACCATAAGAGATTATCCCAACCAAAAGTAGGCACCCACCTTCCAGGCTAATCCTACACCCCTCCCCCCTCACAGGAAGAGGTGGGTTGGGGCATCTATTGATTGCACTACAGTGCCTCTGATCAGCAGGTCCTAAGTTCGATTCCCGACAATGGCAGAATTTTCGACGCTGGCTAAGTAGAAAGGTTAAATTCAGTCCCTGTCTGGAAAAAAATTCTAGCTGCTGGCTGCTCTGAACGGTAGTTTTCCGTAGTTTCCCCAATACAGGTGAATGCCGGAGCGGTACCCTAACAAACGGCCTACGAAGATCGCGCGATCTTTCCTTCCTCTTCCATGCTCTCTCCTCACCCCTTAATTACACTCACATACACTACTCTACCACACATGTTGGAAGACCAGTCGGGAGCATAGAGTTTGTTCCGGCTGGGGTGGTGCCCCGATGTTGGTTAGGAAAAAACCCTCTAAGTCGGCAGTCGAGGCTGGATCTCGCCTGTCAGAGGACGAAGATTGTCGCCACCTCCAGGAGGAAAAATATGCGCAGATTTCGGAGCGTAATGACCCTAGCAGTCGACGCGCTCGGAATCCGTAATCAATAAAAAAAATACCTACTCCTTCCATGTTGAGTTACCCCAGGCAACACTCCACCGGAAGATATATCAATTCGAGCCTGGGTTGAACCGCTCTTCCAGCTCTGAGCTGCCAACTTTCCAGGTTGGCACCGCATCCGAAAGCACCATTCTCAAAGTGCAGAGGGCGAAACCCTTCTCAATTACTGATGAGTGTCGAACTGTGCCTCGGCGAAGCCAAGAACTCACCTGAGAGTAAGCTATACCGAACGGCTCAGAAACCACTAACCCCTTCTACCCACCTCCTCACCGTGCTCACCGGAGTATTTGTTATTTGTATCTGTTCTCGGTATGATGAACAAACAGTAACGCCGTGATTTTTTAATGAATGTGTTTTCTTAATGTGACTGTTGTATCCAGGAAAACTGCAATGTAACAACATCAAGTTTTACTTGGCCCACAAGCAGATTTCTTACAAACAGTAATTACATAAATTTACAAGTTTACTAGTACAGTATCAGTCAATTCGTTTTCTTGCAATTGATGTTGTTATTACTCAGACAATGGGGAACTGTAAACACACTTAAAGACATTGCATTCATTGCATTTGTCAGCTGAGTTAAAATTCCATTTACTCACCAGTTCTGTAGAGGACGAAACTTTGCCAGTCATCAACCGTCATGGGCACGTCCTACAACACATAATTTTTGCAGAAGTTATAAGTTTGAAAAAGTTTTTTTTTTTTTGGATCTACTAAGACAAGTTACACTTTTCTACTAAAGATCTAACACAACTTACTACAGCACAGTTTTAATAGATCCCATTCTCTCTCATTTGGTAATTGATTGGGAAAACATCTATAATTCACTCAAAATAAAACGGAGATGTAATTGGATTTCACTCTAAAGATATGTATGAGACATTTTAATTGCTAGAAATGTTTTAATTTACGCCTAATGTTCACTGTTGCAACTTCCTTAATATGTTAAAGTGTTTATGTTTTATTCGTACGTTATTGCCTTCGATACGTAATGCGATATACGCTGTATAACTTAGCTAGATCGACAAAATCGTGGTTCCGAGGGAAATACGAAAATGTTGAATGTTCTCTTGTCGAGGGAACTATGAGAGGGGATATTGAAACGTAATTACGATAAAATATGTGTGAAAAGACAAACCGAGTCAAGTTACCATCGGCTTATCAGTAAATAAGTAAATTTGAATAATAAAACATAGGTAAAAAAATTAAATCTTATATGTATCTCGGTGTCAATTAGTTCTAATGATATCAGTTGGCAAAACGCCGCTAAAGAGAGCCCCTATAATTTCTTCTGTGCGTAACTATCATATTTACATTTCTAATTTGCTGAATATTTTTCTCCAACATTTTATACATAGAACGTTAAGAGTTGGAAATACGTATGTGAAGAAATATTGGGAAATCATTAGAGAGAAAATCGTCATGCTTATTAGCAAACCTCGTAACTCTATATTCCCTCCTATATTTTCTGTTGACTTCATGATAAAATATAATTACGAAAGAAGAGTAATAACTTAAGTAAATAACAAATCTAGCATCTTTAATAATTGAGTTCTGCAGTACTTATAAGTTAAACAGGAAAGGAAACTGTACCCCTGTACCCCTGCTATGTTTATTCTTTACATGGCGAAACAGTCCAATCTGGAGTTACGAGGTGTGCAAATTAGTATGCGCAAATGTTCATAGCGTTGACATCCACTAAAGGAAAGTTGTTTACAGAACAGAGTTTGGGAGTGATAAGAGATAAGGTTAAAATTATTTTGTAGATTCATTGGGTCTAAACTATAAATATTGCAAATATACTAGTTGACTTCATGTTAATCTACTATCTGCAATTATTCATACCTATTAATATCCTTTAAATAAAACTAAGTAATGTACTGGTATTCATAGTACTTGTTTTAAAGTTACAAGGCAAATACGTATTTGCATTTCCCTGGAGCAACTAAATTTCACCATATTTTATCAAGACGTTCATTAACTGTATAGAAACTAAAAGGAAACTTGCTTTACGGGAATTATTTTCACTTCAATCAGCACGTGAACCCATAAATTATTATCAAGAAACAACTAATTAAATAACACCAACAAATTACCTTTTAATTCTCCCTAAGGGTTCAAGTGAACGAGATTTCTTCATAAATGTGACATCTAATGAAACCCTAATTTAGATCTGAGTAAAAGCGTAAAAGACATAGGAAAAGAAGGTAATAAATTACAAATGTAAAACAGTCTTTTGGTTATTCATTGAAAAGAGAGAGGTTCTCAAGACTAGCATGGAATCGCAAAGGCATACATTTTAATGCTTGGTCGAGAAGTAATCTTTATTTGCTCCCTTCACAAAAAGAGGTTATTTATTTCTTCCCATATTTTTAACCCTCGGAAGATGGTGACCAACATAAATCTTCGTTACGTCTCTCGCGAAGAGAATTAAAGACTCAGAAGATGAGAAAACTTCCGAAAGCTGTCTTTCGAAGCCTCATCAAGGGAGTCCCAAGAGCAAAGCAAAATGTTGGGCAGATCTAAGAAGGAACATTTCATATTTTGTCAACCAGACCTTTCGCAAATAAACCTCGCATTAAATGAATCTTTTATGCTTGGAGGGTATATACACCATTATAATTTCATTATCTTCTAACAGGAGAGGATTGAGAGGAAAATTTTGGGAGGAGAAATTCAAAATGTTTTGGCCGAATGTCATATTACAGCTTTTGTAAAATGTCGCAGACTACACTCCGTTCAAGCTGCAAAACCATTTTATTCGTTTGAATAAATATCCGACAATATGAAAGCTTTGTGACAAATTAAAATTAATAGTTACAGAAAAATTTTAGGGGGGGGGATTTCCCTCATTTCCCTTCCCGTGGATCCGCCCCTGCTTCTGATAATGAGACCCACCGATATTTTGATAAATAATAAATCGATACAATACTTCAACAGTGCAAAGAAATGCCTGAGTGGTACGTACTACCATTTTTCTTTCTTTAAAAATTGATATTATTCGAAGTATTTCAACTTATGTCATACACTACGAATTCAAAATGTGGCTGTTAATTTTTGAAGGTATTTTATTGCTCATGTAAAGTTATAGACATTCTGCCAGAAAATGGTTCAGGTGGTTCTCTGTAAGTAACTTGTCCAAACATAAGAAGTGTGCTTAACAAGTTTGAATTTCATTTCAAACTAACAATATTTGCATTTAAACATATTTAGAACCCCACCTAGCGTTCAAGCTAGAGTTGTTTTTCTTAATTCGAACGTTTAACCCATTTAAAATGCTAATTTAAAGTTGAGAAATAAATTAGTAAATTTTCATTGTGTTAATTTTCTCAAAAGAGTAAGTCTTTTTTCAAAACTGGCCTGACGTTCCTCGTAAACTTTTTGAACGGAACATTGTAAATGTATGACACAAGTATCTACATTTTTCGTTAAATACTTAGAATTTTCCAATTTTGCTCTAATTTTCAAATTTTCATCTCGATAGAGTGAATTCGAAAACAATATATTTTTTCTTACGCCAAGTAAATTGAAAAGCTAAAAATTAAAAGTAAGATATAAAAAATAGAACCTGTTTCTAAATTTAAAATGCATATAAAATTTTAAAACTAATTTCCAACGTACATTTCGTCTCTATTTGGTAATGACTTCAATTATGCGAAAATGTTTTATAGAAAATACCTTTCAATCAAAACCTTGTTTTGTTTAATTTAAAAAAATATGAAGTGCATTTTCATATTTCGAAAATATGAAATAAAAATGATCAAATATGTTCTACACATTTTCAAAATAGTTCTAATTCGTATAACGACTTACTTTGTTACCAGATAAAATCAAACCTGCCATTCAATTATCATATTTTTTTGTCAAGTTATGAAGTGATTGAGTACGACTTAATTTTTTTTATTCGGTTGAAACACGATGCTCACTTAAATTCCATCTTTTATAATATTAATTTTTTATTAAATATAATTATTTGACGACTTTGTCAATAAATTTGTTATCAGCCACGAGAATAGTGTCGTTCAATTTGTTGGCAAAATATTTAATTTGTGGTCAGAACAGTATCTTAGGTTTTATTCGTCTTCTGTTTACAATTATTGATTGTAACTTAATAAGTTATTACTATTACTGTTGTAAAAGAGACAATTTTATCAAATTCTGTAATCTACATTTCCGCAAACAAAATAATGCAAATCTACTAAATTTGCAAGCACGACAAAAAACAAAGTTTAGCCAAAAATCTGAATATCAAAAAATAAAGCATTGAACAAAAATTATATTAAAAAAGAATGGCATCACTTTCCATAACTTTATCCGATGACATCGGTGACAAATTTTGTACAAAAACTTCATCGACAAAAACAAAGGCTTACAAAAGACCTCTAATATATAAAAAATCAATTAACATTGCTTTCGAACTGTATACCATTCCGAAAGATGTAAAGAGGATGCGTCGCATCTAAAAGCACAGAGTAAACGACACAAAAACAAAATGCGCACCAAAAATAAAAATCTCCCCACAATGAATCAAACAACGCGGTCGCACATTGTTACAGCGACAGAGAGAATATATATCGACGGCCCAAGCCCGGGTTGCGCACCGACCATCCATCATACGATCGCGGTCGCGTTTTCACCTGCAGAAACAATGAACGCTCACCGCACCCCCGTGGCATCGGATCACTGGGCTGGATCAGGGCTGTCCAACGCTCTCATATGCAGATGCGTTTACACTGTTCATCCGCTAATAAATCGTGGTAGAAGCTCAGCGAATTCGGGACATGGTGAAAACCCAGAACGTCTCTGTTATCCCTCACATCTTATTCATTGGTATCTACTGCATATTGTATTAACGGGACTATTCCTTTGACATTTTTCTTGCAGATGTAGTCCAGAGACTTTGATAAGAGCATAATTAAGTTTTTACATAAGTTATGAACTGCCCTATAATCTGTTATTTGCGAGAATGAAATCTTAACTTTCCAAATCGCCGTGTTTACAAGTCGGTGAATGGGGGTAAATAATGGAAGGTCATGTTCTTGCACCAAACGCTGTTGAGATGAGCTCTGAGACGTGACGTGCAGCGGTACTACGCAAGACGCAAGACGCGTAGGCAGAATACATAATGCTACGCAATTAAAAATTAAATGAAAACTGTTTTTTGAAGTAACAGTGTGTCTAAGATAAAAGTGCTCAAGATATATTTTTATCATTTTATCTACTTACAAATCCCTCGATGGAGATATTGTACAGATTTAAACTAATCTGTCCAAATATACGTGAAGAGTCAAAATTTCGAGGTTTATTGACTGATTGTAGTTTTGGGGTACTCCAACTGTCACGGTAATTTTCCCCTTAGAATAGAATGAAATGATATGATAAGAAAAGGACACCAAAGGGGGGCACACATATTGGAACTCACCTGCAGGATGAGCTGTCATGCACCGGTGATGTCATGTACGAGTTACTTCATGTGATATTTATATTGGGTACCAGATTGGTATAAAAATTACGTTTCAATCCATCTTTCACCTAGCAATCATTGTCCTACCAATTTTTTCATCGAATTTCACTCCAAAATGACCACACTAAATTGCAAGAAGACTTTTTTATTTTCGTCTTTTGTGGAATTATCACAAAATTTCTTGATTCTAATTATTGGGATATCTTTATTTTTGTCACGTAATTGGAACAAATTTCATATAGAATTTCCAGTTTTGTTTCGTCTGTCGAAGTTCAAATTTAGGGAACGAAATGATTTAGAAATTGAATATTTTATTACAAAAAGGTTGCATTTTGATGCATACATTAAAATTCACATAACTCGCATTATTCTTGATATATTATCTATCTATAAAAAGAAAAATAATTTGAGAATGTATTATTAAATGGACGGCATTCTGAAAAATTTAATTACATTATATTCTTTTGCAGAAATTACGCAAAGAAGAACAAAAATATATGAAGTATGAAACTTGCAAGCAATCACAATTGGCAACTGAGAGTACATTTGATAAATATATTAAATCCGTTCATAATTAGAGAGGTTTGATGAGGGTATACGGGGTAGATCAAAATTGTATTAGTTGTTAAACTTATTAGTAAAAATAAAACAACATAACTTGCGTGTCTTAATAATCACCTAACAAAATAATTTTTAAGAAATACTTCACGAAAAATATAATTAACATCGCTTTTTTACGTGGATTCTTAAGGTTGCTGATTCCTTCCAGTGATTAGGATAGTGGTGTGAAAAAGTTGAATATTTGAAACCATATTGCCCTAATTAATTAAACTATACATTTCGCGCATGGGCCAGTTGACATGTTATGACAATTCAATGTAATTCTTGATTTATGTAGTTCCGAAAATGAAATATTTTTTCCATTCTAATAGTTTCTCACTGTAAAACAATATTAATTAAATCCATTAAAACTTCTCTTCCGCTAATGAATTGCTCAATTGTGCTGGATCTACCTTTATTACCATTCACGAAACGGCGTTCGTCAAGATTATTTACAATTAGCGCCAACTGAGAATTTACGGCATTTGTCCGCTCGGGAAAATATTTCAACTACACGTTTTTCGGCCCCCCAACCAACCAGCCAGCCGAGTGGAATGAGCTCGACGACCCGAATACCGGCGTGGCAAAGGCCGCTCAGGGTTGCCAACCCCACACATTCGCATTCGAACCCGCATTCCCCTCAGCACGTCGTGGCATGTTTGGCGTACCCACAGCAGACGACTAACAACAGCACGTTACGGCGCCAGCAACAATCAATTTTTACTTCCCCTTCTCCCCGCATGCGTTCACACGAGTTAATTAGAATTAATAATATATTCCGTGGGACCGAGAGAGATAGAGAGAAAGGGACGAGAGAGCAGAGTCTGCGTAATTGTAAAGCGTTTCGCCGCCCGTCCGCCAGAGTCCACCACCGTCGCACACAAAACCGCGCTCTAGCGGCAGCAAAACAATAGAGAAGCGGGTCATTGTTGGACTACGCAGTGACACGATTTCACGTAGACCCGTTCATCTGAGCTTCGGCTTGTCAGTGGTCCAGACCACGAGTTAACATTTCAACGTCAGTTTTGAACCATGGTAAGAACTCGCTTTGTTTCTATTCGCTCTTTTTTTTTCGTTCGACGTTTTAAGCCGAAAGCTTATATCCATTGTCCCAACGTGCAGAGCTAATTTGAGTTTCGTGTTGTTTTAAAAAGGATGGCTTAAAGGGAGGGAATTGTTGGGACTCCGTGCAAGTTTACGAGTTATTTATGCCTGTGAACTAGAGTGCGGCGCGATATGGTCTGTATAGTTTAATGAGAGTGCGTGTGTGAATACGGCTCCAGTTCTGAAATACGTGCTTGCACTTTATGGGCAAATGATACTCAAAACATTGTATGCATTGTAAATTCACGGTGAGTGTTACTACATGATAAAGTAAAACAAGGAGAAATGTCGTGGGGGGTGTAGCACCCTATTCCGGAATTATAAATTCCGTGGAAATTCCACCTGTGATGATAAATCGTGAATACTGTCTTGAATAGAACGAGGGTCATATCTTTTTTTTATATTTAAAACACTAAGGATATTCTTTTACAAAAAAGTTTGAGCTTTTTATTCAACCAAAGTTCGTGACTTGTGCTTTAAATGAAAGTTAGTGGATACCAGATTTGTTATTACTTACTATTATTGAGCGGTTTGATAGTATAAGCACTAAATTTTAATAACATCTTTACAATAAAATAATTAACGCTTATCAACGGTTATTTGACCATTACGTCATTGTAATATATGCACACAATTCAGTCATTTAGCTGCATTATTCGCATGATTTGTTGTGCTCTTCTTTGTTTGTTGTCGTAAGAGCAGAGGCTGGGTTGTGGGCTATTTTGTTACCAACATTAAAAAAAAGCAAGTACTTTATTCGTTCATCTATGAAAATACGTTTTCTACAACTCAGGATAAAAATGTAAAATTTCAAAATGTTGTTAACCTTGCTTTGTTGTACTTTTATTCATCATTCGACGACATTTATGGTTAAAGAATGGGGAAACAATTCTGACGCTCACGTTACAGTTTTTTGTGTATTCTGATAAAAATAAATGTTTAAAATTAGATGCTCAGAATTAGCCTGAGTGGCGTGTTTTGATTTAAAGTTAAGGTCAATTGCAAGAGTTCCGGCTACAGTGCACTACAACATTCGAGATCAATCCCTGGTAAACATTAAACATTTCAATTTAGAAACAATGTAAGAAACAACGTAATGGTGTGTTCACAGTTTCTCTGTTCAGAGTACATAGTGATATTATATTTATAATTATTTTTATTATATTTATAGTTATATTTATAAATATCCCTCATGTCAGTAGACCTGAAGAATACGTACTAAACATAAAACATTTTGGGGGCGGGAAAGTCGATTTTTTTATAGTTGCATATATTGTACTTTTCTACAGTTCTTCCTTTGTGTGAATAGTAAGGATTCTGCTAGTTCTAATTAAATAATTCAATTCAATTCATCGATGTCTTATTGTACGTGACAATGATCAGGTCTGCTCTTCCATCTAACCATGCAAATTTCGCTATGCTCATTTCACCATCCAGCGGAGAACGGAGGTATCATTTGGGGCACGAAACACTCAATTTGAATGCAGTAAATCTACTAACATGGGTCAGCCGACTTTACTTCCCCTCCGAAGGAAGGCGTACGAAGGATTTTTTCGGCCTTCAAAATCCACGGCCTCGATCGGGATCGAACCCGCGAACTTTGGTACAACAGTTTGATACTCTAACCGTTACACAACCGAAACTACAAAATGAATTATGATCTTTGTATAGTATGCAAGTACATGTATTTAAATGTTTTGTTCTAAAATGAAAATTAATTCGTTTTACTTGTAATTCGTGCTTCTTAAGTCTGGGTAAAATTCTGCGTACTTCAAGACAAAGGTAAAACTTTGCTTTATAATATGCAGCAAACCTATTCATTATTATAACTGAATATATTTATATTCTATTTAAATGTTATATCATGAATGAATACCTAAAAATTATACATTTGAAGTGCTTGTGAAAGGAATAAAGATGCTAATTTTTGATCGCTGCAAAATTACTATACTTTCGGCACAACTTGTATATTTTGGACATTATTCCATGAATTTTGTAGTGAATCTTATTTTACTTCCGAAAACGAAATTGAATTTTACTACCCAGTTGTGAAAATCATTCTTGTTCAGAAAGATTGCAGGTGTTTTTACAAACACTGTTTATCATAATCTGGTATTTAAAAATTCTTAACTTTCATCGGTCTGTCTTACTTCCGAAAAGAATCGTTTATATTTTCACGTAAAAAGATGTTTTCTTATTTACAAAAGTACTTTGATATCCATTTCTATTGTCAAATTTCAGTTCATTGAGCGACACAAGTGATTTAATAAGTTTGATACATTTCGACTGCAAATTGAGTGAGCCACTTCCTTTACAATTAGTGTAATGTGAGTTATGTTCGTAGTGGAAACACCATTGAAATATAGAGACAATAAAATAAAAACTGGTGGTACACACGCAATGTTATTAACAAAATTGCCCATTTTGATAAACACGAGAGAGACCGCAAAAGGTCAACGTACAGTCATAAAACACATACAATTGTAATTATTTGGCTGCCATACATTCATTGGAATCATTGATCTCCACTCGAAACTAAGAATTTTTAATTGTATATTTATCACTCAATAATTTACAGAATGTATCCTCACATGAGCGCATTTAAAAAAATGAAAGTTAATTCAGAAAATTGGTTAACATGAGCTTGTAATTTGAACTTGTAGTTAGACATTTTCAAAAATATTGGATTCTGATGAAAATGTTATTGCCTTCTGTTATCTTGTCATAAATATTACACATATGATATTTTCCACAACGTTTTCTTGCATCTTCCTCAACTCTTACTGACAGCTGAGATTCACAGACCAGTAGCGGCTAGTATTTTCACAGCTGCCTATGTCCGTAGCGACTCTTGGAATTGATTAAACAAACTTGCTCATAACGGAAGAGTAAGATACCGATTGAAATGGGGAAACAAGCATGGTGTCCAATTAAACACCATCACCTTTACATTACAGAACCAATACGGTTGGTATTAGACAGCTGCAGCCAATGAAGGCCAAAAGGTGGAGAAGATAACCATGTAGCCAAGCAGCGTCGAGAATGGGAAACAGAGAAGAGGCTGCCTGCAAACACCCTAACATGACACCTCGAATTCGACACTCTACTTATGTAAATAGGCATAGAGTTGAGTACGAGTTAACACAGTAAAAGTGTTGGTTAAGTAAAAAATACTTAAATGCAGGTAGAGATAAGCACTAACTTAAAAAATGTCACAACGAAATACTTACCTCATCTTCAAGTAGCCTGGAAAATATAGGAAAATTTATTAAA